GAGCGTTACTTTTAAAGGTGCACTGTGGAAAATTTAGAGTCCACTACTTTTTCATCCATCAGACATTTGGACACTCATCTAAAATGACTTAACCACTATATAGTGCCATATATAGGGGTTAGGGCGGACATTCGGATACAGCCTAAGGCATGTGACATTGGCTGATAAGGCAGAGTTGGGACCCCACCCTGGAGCCGGACCTAGGGTTGGGGTTCGTATGTGAGCGCCTAATGGTTGCGTTCTTCCTTGCGGGACGTGGCTGGACCCAGCCCGAAGGAGTGATGCGAGGCAATCCACCAGTGGCCCCACCGCCTGCAGGGGGAAACATGCGGATTGGGTAGCAGTTGGAGGCGGACACACAGCAGTCAGTGGGGGAGGCGACCTGGTTCACAGACACTAAAGCTAAAACTGAGCTTGCATAGGAGGTGTAGCGATACAGGTCCGATCAGCATACCCCGTCAGACCAGCATACCTAAGTCAAGGCTAGGCTAGGCTAATTTATGCGTGATATGATAAACCAAACAATGTAGTTGAATGTAAGCACACAAACTTACCAGAAAAGCATACGAAAGTCAAGTAGGCTGGTTTATTTATGTGTGATGTAATAAACAAAAAGTTTTGGTCTGAGGTAGACAGAGTTAAGCTAAACTGCTTTAAAAACAGACATTCTCGCTATGTTCACTACTTTACACTCTGACGTAGCAGCCAACCTGTCAGATTGTCATACAATGGTTAAGTGTATACTGATCTTGACTGGCTGATCTGAAAATGTAACAGAAGTTGTTTAAATGTCCCTTTGTGCATGCGCACGCAGGCGTTATACTACAGGTATGCTGGTGTGAGTGGGTATGCTGATCTGACAGATCACCGGCTAGAAATAGCTGGGCTCTCCTCCACACATAGCCTAGGCTCTGGAACCCAGCTCCTTGAGAGAGGCTGAACTCTATCCCACCCTGGGAGGTGGACTGAGGTGGGTCTGCTTGTCTTCCCCAAGCTTATCCGTCTCATGTTGAATTTTAGCCCGGCCTTTAGGTAGGGGGGAGGTCTCTGACTGGGCCAAACATCGGTACAGAGTACCAGCCCTTCTTGGTATCCCTGGGGGGGATACCAAGAAGGAACCTCCGAGAGAGCTTCTTCCAGATTCTGGGGGAGGGTGGAGACATGGAGCCTGAGTTAACCATGTTTTCTGCCTCCATTGTTGATGCAGTCCCCATAGCTGTGGCAATGATGTCTGCGATGCCTGTCGTGGCAGCAACTTGGTGGTGCACACTGACAGAAAGGGATGCTCTAAAGCTGAAGATGTCCTATAGAATCTGGCTGGCCTGTGGGACTCCTCATGCAGAAAGTAGGTATTACGAGGCCAAGTGTGCTGCTGTAGTTAAGGAGGTTGAGGAGGCAAAAACTCAGCCTTAGGAGGAGTTTGGAGAGGCCACGGAGAAAAACTATCAGTTGGCCTAAAAGCAATTCTTTCAATCTGTCCTGTGCCTCTGGAGGCAGTGCTTTGCAAAAACTGTTTTTAGTGGGAGTGGGGAGCTGGAAGGGATTGAGGATTTCCTCAATTCAGCTGATACCTTCGGTGGTGGAAGAAGAAACAAGGTACTTAGTAGGATAATGGACTATTGTAGGATAATGGAACACAACATAATTCTATTCAACACAAAGCATTAGAACAAGTTCAGGACAAAAAAAACCCCTTATTTGAATTGTTTAATATGGATTCATGCAGGCATACAAAGGCAGCAGATCCTCTGTTTTGAAGAGTTGCTTAAAAAATACATGTTGATGAAAGTCGGTGGTGGGTTGGGGGAGTGGTGGCCTACTGGTTAGGGTATTTTTCTTGTGTTCCTGAGGTTCTGAGTTCATGCCCCACTCCCACGGATTGACACACTGGGTCCCTGAGCAAGACCCCTAACCCCACACAGCCCACTGCTCCCCAAGGGGATGGGTTAAATGCAGAGTGAATTTCATTGCTTTGTACATACATGACAATAAAGTTAAATTCTATTCGATTTTACTATAAGTCACTGTGATTTGGCTCTCTTTGCATTGGTCAGTCTAGCTCCCTAGCATGTGATTTACCAGTGCTTAGTTATCTGATCGAGAGAAGAATTTTCTTTTTTTGTTTTTAGAATTCCCCACTGTGGGACAAAACAAATCTTAGGTTATGTTTAGATAAATTATATGTGTCCGATCTTATCAGCATTTTTCAGAAGTTAGTGTCTCTCTTTTTAGACCTGCAGAAAAGAGCAAAATAATAAAGAGTAATAATATGAATCAATATGTTTATAAATAAATGTAGATGTTTTTTTTTTATTTTCATTGCAGTTAGTTTAAAGTTACATGGACATTTATAAGTAGCTTGCAAGCTGAAAAAGCCACCCTTTTGGCTAATTAAAAGAGTTGGTATTACTTTGAATGTAACTGTGGCACACATTATGTTTTTTTTTTCTTGCCTTTATTTTGTTTTTGGAGACAGAGTAAAACTATAATAATGTATGATAATAATAATAATACATTTAGCTTTTCTGGTCATTCTGAAATGTATATTTGGAGGAGGCAAAAGAAGACAAACTAAAACAATAAGGTTTTGAAATCCCTATTGAGGACTGTAGTAGCAAATCAATATAGCCCTTTCAGGAAGCCATTGTCACTGTAGGATTTTGTTTTTATTTTTAACCATAACAATAGTATTAATACAGCTTCCATGAATCATATTACATTATACCATAAATCATTTTGCAGATGAAACACAGCAAAATCACAAATTATTATTGTAAAATAACTACTTTGCATATTCTGTTCTCTTAAATGAAATTAATAAAAGCCACTTTTGAATCTGATCTTCTTCCTGGAGATCAGATTCTTAAGTCTTAAAGGGGACACACACCTTTTAAAATCACTGTGTTACAACAGCAAACATCACAATTCAAGCTCCATTCTTTGATTTACATGGTTTCTCCAAATATATCTTTGGATAAAAGACAAAAAAAAAAAAATAACTTAAATATTAATGAAATACTAAAGTAAGGATAAATTGGAGTAAAAGCAATAGAACGAACATGAATATTTTCCAAGACAAACTGATTTTTACCAGTCATTTCATAAATAACAACCATCGTGAGGTATCTGATATATAAATGAAAATGAATTTCCTTCTGAAGAGCACAGTATGAAACCTTAATTTGTTTGTATCTGTAATAATGCTTTTATCTAATCATCTGAAAGAATAAGTGCAGCTAAGCCCAGACTTTATTAATATACACTGTATAAAGAAAAAACTACAGTTCGGTTACCAAATTGAAATGTTCTGTTTTAAATCGTATGGGACGTCCAGCGATATTATTTTCACGAACGGCAGAATAGTTAATTTTACTTTTTCTAACATAAGGATACATAAACTCAGATGGTGATGGCTTTGTAAGCCTCTTGTAGGGCAGTCCACACTATTTAAGTCAAATGTAGAAACAGCTGTAGAAAGTGATGGCTCTTTATAGAAGGTTTTAAGGGAATGGATTTGACAATTGGAAATAAAAACACAAATACAAATTATTCTCCACTTTCCTGCTGCAGGATACTTAAGTCCATTCAATTCGGTCCAAATTTCTTTATTCTCTAGCAAAAGCTTTGCAACTTTGTGAATAAATGTGCTTTCTTTGGTTACACCAGCCTCTTTAGTTTCTTTAATTTGGTTTCATATATTTGAACAACAGTTGTGTTTGAATTCAAGCTGCCAGGGGTATGACTTTGACAAAAAAAAAAATTGCTGATATGACGTAACGCCCTCTGTGCCCTTAGGAGAATCTTTAAGTAGCTACAGCTACCTACAGACCAGCACATTCATACTTATACGTTCACTTATTTTTAGAGAGATTATGGTTTGTCAGAGCACAATTTGACAAAGACCTTCATCTTTTCTGAGAAAGAAATGAAGATGATGAGGCTTAAATTGAAGTGTCGTGTGGAAGTTTTGCTGTAGGAGGCACTGGTGAACTTCACATCAACCAGGAAGTTTAGGCTTGGCTGCAAACTGGTTCCTTCAAACGGTCTGTGAAACGGGTTGTGTTCACATTCACAAAGGTCATTATCAGATTAACATGAATAAATCCAAATATGGCGTTTATACGAGCATTAAAACGTTTCCTTCATGACCTATTCTTACATAAAGAGCTCTTCAATCAGAAGAACTCTGAGATGCACTGTTATCAGTTTTCCTTAAAAAAAATTAGGAGAATAAATCAGAAAAGAAAAAACAACTTTAGAAGTCTTTGGTTCTGATCGTCCAGAATGTTATGTTCTGAGAGTGGTTAAGGCGTCAACACTTGTTTCTATACCAGAAAAATTGCAGTTAAACACAGGCCACACTGCCAAGTCTGCACAGGTGTCCACCATCAGAATACATGATCCGAACAGGCGTTCAAGAACGTCGTTCAAATTGACAATCAGTACCAACTAACCCTCTTGAACAGAATAAAATTATATTGCGTTTGAAGCCAATCTAATCCGAATATTTCTATCTGCACATTTAAGCGTCATACTTTTAATCAAATTTTCTCTTTTTTCTTACTACTGGTGTCAATGTAAAAATATCTACCGGGAATATCAACAAAGGTGGATTAAGGACAACACGGACAAAGTTTGTGAGTGTCCATCAGAAGGTAACACCGGTTCTGTCAGGAAGGAATAGGCAAAAATTCCAGTAAATTAAAGTGAGACGATTCAGGATTTCTTGAAAGAAGCCAGTTAAGAAAAAACTATGTCTCTCACTTCAGCATTCAGTTTATGAATCTAACTTTCATAATCATGCATTTTGAAATAAAAACGTTTTCTGATTTAATTTCAGAGAGTGTGAAAAATTTTCTAATATCTGCTTTCTGTGGTATAAACTTTCCACCTGATCAAAAGCCCATGAAAAAGGCCGACATGTCTGACAGAGGATTTAGGGACCAAACAAGCTGTTATGCGGCAGGAGCTGATGAGTGTGATGTGTGCTGCGTTCTTACCTTGAGCGAATCAAAGCAGGCGATGACTCTGCCGTTCTCCACATGGCAGCTCCGGGAGGGATGTGCAAACTTACACTCGGAATCAGACCGTGAGCAGGTGCCTCTCTGGTACTCGCGACACACTTCCAAGGTCAGCCATTTGGTGTCTCGCCCCATGGTCATGCTGACAGCCATCTGAGACGCTCACAGACACTGAGCAGTGGTGGGAGCAAGTGGATGGAAAAAAAATGTCTAATGCGAGCAGGGCTGACTAATAGTGATTCAAAAGCAAACAAAAAATCCCCATGGAAAAAAAATAAAAATATTTGTCCTTCAGAGCAAATAGGTGGCAAGTTCCTTTTTGACTGATGTGTTTTGGGGGATGTTTACTAGCTCTTCCTGGGAAAACTGTCAGCTGAAGTTTCACTGGCTGAGATAACAGATGTTAACTATGAGCAGAGACCAGCTCCGTCTCAAGAGAAAGAAAAAGCACTGTTCAAAAAGCATCACTTTAGTCCTCCCAGATATGTCTATAGACTGAAATTCACTATACGTCTCTTTTATATTCATGTCGACATGATTAGAGGAGAGAAAGTCACTGCAGCTCTACTGTAGTTCTCTGACAGGGAAAGAAACAGAACCTTACACCAGTAATGTCCTTGTAATGAAGAGACGAAGCTGCAGCTCAGCTTCGGGTATGTGGGGACTATAGCTCACCAATGTGGGATGGATGACTTTGTGGCTGTCAGGACAAAATATAGCCTCAATTCAAGGCCAAACGAACCGAACAATCTCTCCTGCTGTAGGACAAAACCGTACTGTAGGCACTTTGGAGTCCTGCTTCCTCTTCTTACTTGAATCGACTTCTCATCCCTCTGTCTCAGTTCGTTTTGTTGTCATCCTCTTTACTGACCTCTCTGCTGCATGTCTTGCTTGCTGTCTCACTGTGAATCGCAGAAACAAAGAAAAAAAGCATTCATAAAACGGCAACTGTTTGGCTGGAAACTGCTACAATCTCTTTTAACGAAGGAGGAGCACGCTGCAGGAGAAGAAGGAAGGAGGAAGCAATGAACAGGAAAGGGCAAGCTATGCCTTGATTAAGTGATACAGAGAGGAGAGATAGTGAGAGAGAGAGCGGCTGGAGAGAGAGGATGCATGGAGGTTGTAGGCAGGACAGAAACGTCACCTCAACTCCTTTACTTTCTGCCCTGCAAAAACTGGACATAAATGTAACACAGGGTTGAAAATAGTGTCCTTGATGAGGGAAATTCCTGCTTATTCTATTACCAAAGAGATATGAAAAGATGAGACAGGGTAATTCATCACAACTAAAGCTGCGGTGTGTAATGCAAAGCAGCAGCCAATCACACTGCATTTTACAGGCAAGTGGGGCTTACCACTGATCAATGGGAGAGCCCATTAGAAGGAAGGCTCCTCCTTTCACAGAGCCTGTCCTTGTTTCTCACTTTTTCACACATGTACCAGCACAGTCATGGCAGTCATGTCTGAGCCACATGCTAATATTCAAACTGCAGCAGCTTTCTGTGCAGCTTTGCCTTCACACGGCGACAGAGGAGTTTCTAGCGTCTCCCTCAAACATACTGCAGGATGATGCAAGGATGATGCATGCAGCCCTCTGTTCTGCTCACACTCAGGGAGCAGAGTGACGTGGCCAGTCACTAACTGAATACAGATAATAAACCACATAAAAAAGCATGAAAAAAGGAACAGATTTAGCTTCATTTTGGAAATGTAAAGTTTAATAGTGCGGGAAAGAAATTGTGTAGCGTATAAAACCTCAAACAGGACAATAAAGACCAGAACAGGAGCAGAGGGCGTTGGAGCAGATATTATCATTCTCCCTGTCTGATGGTGGCAGACACAGACGGAGGAAGCAGTGGGGGGGACCACTGTGAGGGAACAAATGTGTGTATTTGTGTTTGACGGCATGCAGATACACAACATGGAAGGGCAATGCTGCAGCAGAAGGGAGACGTATGGATAAAGTCACTTCTCAGGCCAAGTATGAGATCCATAGAATGGGAGAAGAGCAGGTATAACAATTGCTTTGCTTGCTGAACCAATGCGCTTATCTGTGCATCCTCCTCCACCAAAGCCTCCAGATCAATACAAACTTTACTCTGGGGGACTAAACAAGCACTCCTCCTATAGCTTTGTCCGCTCTGCGTTTATATCCACGTCAGTGTCAAGAGCCTGTGCTTACGCACACCCTGACGAGGCAGAAAGCATCCAACATCATCAAAAAGCTCCTTAGCAACACTTTGGACACCGAACGGTGCACAGCTGCCATTACAACTACACATGGAGAGAGATGCAGCAAATGCCTCCCAAAAATCAGAGTTTATGCTGCAGCATAAACATAAAATATCACACCTTTTTTTAACCTTTCTAGAAAATGTTTGCTGGATTTACTTGATTGGTTAAAACAAAATTTGGACTTTGTTGAACTCAGTTTGTTGCTCTCAGATTGAACATATAATTGGTTCTCCTCCACTAAACTGCTGCGCATTACTTGTTAGCTGGCTGAAAAAATGTGGGTAGATTTACACTGCCTTTATAATACCTACAAAATAAACCCAACACAAAACATTATAAGGCTCTTTGGAGTAGAAACTAAAGGATATTCCTTCATTATTGCTTTGAATGCATTTATATCAGCTCTAAAACACTTAATAGGCAGGGGGGAAATTAAGCAGGTAATGTGAGCTGGTTATATTTCTGTAACTCTGTAAAGTGGATAAGGTCTACATAATGTTCTGATCAGAACATGGAAAACATTTCAACATTTTGTTGTTTATTATTGTAAAGCTTTTTTGCTTTTGTCGATGTTAAAATGACAATAACTTAACGTATATGACAATATTATTACATCTATAATAGCTGAAATGATATGAATACATTTTTCAGCAGGGGGAAAACAGATTTCATGTTTATAAGGAGAACAATTATTTTGCTGTGATATTTTACTAAAGGTTTTCATAGTGTAAAAATCCTACATTCTGTAATTAGAACTGGTCTAAATAGCCTTTGTTCTATCAAAGTAGAAATAAGATATGAGCAGGTTATTGAGTATATGACAAATTATACTGCCAGAGAATAAAAAAAACACACACACAAAAAAAAAATAGCTGAGTTACAGGGGAGAAAAATAGTTTGGCACTTTATTACACAATACTCATTGTGTAATAAAGCTTCATTTTAGATATTAATGGCATATTCATTCATACATTTCCTTTTTCTATTTCTTGTTGTTTCTCTTCTTTGTATTTTTTGATTGATTTATATTAGCTATCTTTCATACTTTTAACTTTTTAATAACTGAGTTCAGTTCCATCCTTGTTGATTAGCCACATTTTATCTGTCTTCCTGCGTACTTTCTGCCTACTTCCAGCTGCTCTATATTACCCCTTGATAAAAATCCTGTGTCATTCTCCACTCATCCCTCAGTATATGCTCTCACTGGTTCTCACTGTTTATTATTGGATTCCTATGGTCTACTGCCATGTACTCTTTTTTTCACTCTTTTGTACTCTGGCCATTCTGTCATGTTCTTCCTTGTCCCACACCAGCTGGACGTTTGTTATTGGGTCCTTTTCTAAACCACCAAATATGACAGATAGTTATGCCTCAAGTCACTAGTCCAGTGGTTTCATTTTTTGCAGGGCTCCCCTTTGGTTTACAAGAAAGTTTTCACATCCCCCAGACCTTTTCAATAGTTAAACAAAGTAAATATTTTTTTTCAAATCACAACAAAAAAACACAGTTAAAGTGTAATTATTTTAAATTTAACTGTTTAGTTTACCATGTAAAATGAATTATTTTGTTAAATTAATTTCTACCAACCTCCTCTGTGGTTATACTAACCCCCCCCGTCCTACATAAGCACCCATGGGGATACTAGACCCTACATAAAACTGTACTTATTTTAGCTAAAAGTGATTATAGTTCTTCTGGTAAAGAAAAGACCTAACAACGGGGAGCACAACTTTTTTCTATGGTGGCCAGTGTGGCCACACATATCAAGTTAAAGTGCTTTGGGGTCTAAAATTGTTAGTTGTTATTTTTTACCTGCTTGACAGGAATGCAAATGTAGAATACCGTATGTAATTAAACAGGAAAGTTTTATGCAGAAAAGTGATATGTAAAACACAGTAGACAGAAAAATAACACATTAAAAAAAAATCTCTCACAGCTTTGGCACTTAAAAACAAAACAAATTGACAGACAACATTCTTTTTTTAATCTTAAATGCAAAACGTTGATATATATATTTTTTACAATTTTAGTATAATTGCTGCTCTAAATGGTTTTCTTCTGTCAGCTAAAGGCATGTTTTACAGTCTCTATACTCCAGTTAAAGGTATTTAGGACAATCTTTTATTTCCGGGTGGATCATCTAAATAAGTGCTCCTCCTAATTGTCAATCATTCTGGTGATATGTTTACATCAGGCCGTCCTACATGATTGTCCCTTTAGGTATCTTTTTCTGTGCATGCACACTTTCAGCAGCCCATGTGTGGTGAGCTACGGTTTAAGACAGTCATTGAAGCTCACATTTCTCATCGCAGTTCTTTAAAAATGGCCGAGAGTCTTAAGAGAAAAAGTGTCTACTAAGTGTATGATGAGAAAAGAAAGGCCTCATAAGAGTCACACATATCCCAGAATGCTTTGCAGGGAAAGCTCTCTTCTCAAAGCACTAAGGGATTTGCTGTCACAGGGGGCTGCTGTTGCTACCTGACAGCGGCGACTAATAACAAAGATGGCGTAGGCATCGTGCAGTGGAGGAGGAGTTACGTGGCCAACAGAGAAAAAAAAGTAGTGATCATCTGTCTGAACGGTCAGTTATCTGAGTTTGCTATAAAGTCCACTAAAGAGTCCCTGCTGTATTTACCCACAGTAAGCTTGTATGAGCTATGAGAACAGCACATTTTAAACAGGGTGTGCAAGAGGACAAATGGGTTTGTGCATGCTCTTGCATGAGAATTTATTTTTTTAAGTGAGAGGGTGGGTCTTTAAAGAAATCCTCCACAATACCTTTAACGATGAATTAATAAATAGAATAAATTAGTTAATGATTATTTTAATAATCGATTAATCACAAATAATCCCATTGTTTCAGCCCTAGTACAGTGTTTTCAGGTAGAATAAGTTGGAAAGGATTAAATCTATTTACAAAAATAAAAAAGAACATGGCTGATAAAAAATAAATACTGTGTGTTGTGCCTTACTTTTTTGACTGACGGAACATTTCATTGGGAATTTTTCATATTTAAAAATTACACCAACATTTTCTTTTAGACTAAGTTGATAAACAGAAATCATACCACTCTTAAATTATGTTTGAGGACCATACAACATCATCATGAGGGCAACAAATGGCCCTCAGGCCACATATTGGACACGCCCGATTTAGACTGTGCTTTTACAGAGTTTATCCAGGTTTTTGCTGCATTTTACTTAATAGAAATGACTAAATATAGCATATGAAAGTTCTAATAGTCTTTAAGCTCCAACCAGGTGCCTGTGGTAAAGCTGAATAAGGTGTTTTTTTGGAACTTGGCTGGAGTGGCACAAGGTGGACAGATGAAAGCCATAGTAGCTGACATATCTGTACTGCGTCCTTCATCAAACACTGCACACCAAAGGGCTTCCAACAGTGTAACCTTCAGCTGAGCTCTGATGTCTGCATTATGGCTGCGATGCAGACTGGGTGCCACCTAAACAGGCAGAGCAAACCTGGAGAACCACAGAAAGGCACAGAGAAACATTAAACTGTGCTGGTTGTCATATTTCTCTCAGTTTTTATCTTCTGCAAAATTTCTTGCAACAATCTATGGTTTATATTGGCAATATGCTGCATGTTTGTGTTGGGTATTTGGAGGACCAAAATGAAAATAGGCTCTTTGTTGTCCTGTGTTTTTAT